TTCCGTCCCCCTGAGGAACATGGGAATGGCATTCAAGGACCCAGTGGTTCCTGGTCATCTGGGAAAAGCAGGACCCAGGGCTTCCAGCCTCGTTATGGAGCCTGGTCCCATGTGCACATTCCAGGGGGCATCATCACAGTTCAGGTGACCCTCAGGTCCACAAGGGTGGCAATGGTATGATTTAAGGCCACTGGCCTGGTCCCAGCCAGTTTCCCTCCTGCTCTCACCAAACTAGGCCAGAAGTGGGCTGGGTTTAGGGCAGGGCCAGATGTAACTCTAAACCAAAGGGTGAGGTGGGGAGACCAAGGCAGAGACCCAGACACAGGGCCCAAAGGTAGCCTTCAGATTTAGGGACAAAGAGCTTCCGTGCCCCCTGCATCTGCCTTGAGATGCTGTAGCAGAGGCAAAACAACTGACCCCAGGCCCCACCATCTGAGTGGGCTGGGTGGGATTGGAACTGGGGCCTGGGGTTGAGACCGGGCAGGAGGCTGAGAGGACTCTGCTCGGGGGAGATCTGGTGGAGGCTAGGCCTGCAGGGGGGCCTCTTCCCCTTGGGTGCTCACTGGGATGATTAATACAGTTTTTTAGGAGCCTTGGATAAAGACACTACATGGGTGTCATAGGAGACCATGCAAAACATTTTTTAAAGATTTTGTTTTTATTTATGAGAGAGAGAGAAAGAGGGCGTGAGCGGGCAGGGGGAAGAGCAGAGGGAGAGGGACAAGCAGACTCTGCGCTGAGCTCAGAGCCTGACTCGGGGCTTGATCTCAGAGTCCTGAGATCACGATCTGAGCCGGAAACCAGAGTCTGGCGCTTAACCGACTGAGCCCCCCCAGGTGCCCCTTACCATGCAGTACATTTTAAAACATTTGAGATATTGGGGCGCTTGACTGGCTCAGCCGGTAGCGCATGTGACTCTTAATCTCAGGATCCTGAGTTCAAGCACCACATTGGGCATGGAGCCTGCTGTAGTTAAAAAAAAAAAGAAGAAGAAGAAGAATAAAAAATAAAACATTTGTTATGTAATTTCTCCCTGTTGGGAAACTCCAGTGACCCCCCCCAGGCAGGCTGGATGGCTGGGTTGCCAAGGATGATCTGTCTGCTCCCTGCTGTGTGACAGGCCCAAGACTGGTGTGGCTTCAACCTCGTCCCCTCTCCCCGCCCCCCCAGTACCCTTGTCACCCAGTGTATCTTCCTCTGTCTAGATTCTCGCTCACCTGTGGCATCTTGGCTATTCGCCGGAAGACATCATTGGCAACATTTTTCGAGTGTGCAAAACCTTCCAAATGGCAGAGTACTTGAAACTGGAGTTTATCAAGGTCAGTGAGAATACAGCAGTGGCTCTCCTGGGGAGCGTGGGCCACGCTGCGGTCTCTTCGTTTGGCTCCCAGGCCTGGCCCCTGGAAGATGCTCAGTGAGTGTCCCAACGCCGGATCGTCCTGGGGCTGGGAGTTGGTTTCAGCCTGTTCTGCCAGTCAGCGACCTAGAGTTCCTTGGGGTGGCTCTCTTCACTCAAGATTTGTTTATTTGTTTACCCTTACGGTCAGGTTAACTGAGGTATAATCTACATATAGAGTAAAATGCAGCCTCTCAGGTGGCTTCTGTTGACTAGTGTTCTGTCTTGTAAAGGCCACAATCAAGGTCGGAACAGCTCTGTAAATCCCCCGCCCCCTAAATACATGTGCCCCTTGGTAGTCAGCTCCTCCCCCAGCAGCCAGAAACCACCGCTTTGTTTTCTCTTTGGGGGGACAGAATTTTCCGGAAGGTTGTTCTATGGAGATGACAACGACAACGGAATCAAGTAGTCCGCCTAGCTTAACGCACTTCGGGTTTGTTCATGCTGTTGAATCTGTTGGTGGGTCGTTCCTTTTCCTTGCCGAGCAGCGAACCACGGTTTGTGTGTTCACCACTTGAAGGACGCTGGGGGGTCTGGGTTTTGGGGACCATCAGTAAGGTCACTATAAACATTTGCGCACGCGAATCGGTGTGAATGTGAGCGTAAGTTTTTATTTTTCTCGGGCAACTTCCCAGGAGGTAGGATTGCTTGTTCTAATGGTCAAGGTATGTTTGACTTGATAAGAAACTGCCAAACCGATTTCTGAAGCGGCTGTAGATTGTGCATTTCTGCCAGCAGTGTGTGAGCATTCCAGATGCTCCCCCAGCCTAGCCAGCACTTGCAATGTTGGGTTGATTCTTTTTTTCCTTTTTAAAATTTTATTAGAGAGAGAGTCGGGGGGAGGGGCAGGGCAGAGGGAGAGGGAATCTCAAGCAGGCTCCATGCCCAGTGCAGAGTCTGATGCGGGGCTCGATCTCACAACCCTGGGAACACGACCTGAGTGGAAACCAAGAGTTGGACGCTCAACGTACAGAGCCACTCCAGGCGCCCCTCAGTTGATTCTGTTAAAGCCGTTCTGATAGGTGTCTCATAGCATCTTACCCTGGCTTTAACGTGCATTTCCCAACAGCTAACGGCGTCGAGCACTTTCGCATGTGCCGATTTGCCATCCGTTATCTTTAATGAAGCATCTGTTCAAATCTACCGATTTCTTAATTGAGTCATTTTCTTCTTACTGAGTTTTGAGACTTACTTATATACCCTGGCTTCAAGTCCTTTATCAGACATGTGTTTTATAAGTATTTTAATATTTTCTCCAAGCCTGGCTTTTATTTGTTTTGTTTTTTGGGTTTTTGTTGTTGTTGTTGTTGTTATTTTCTTAACAGTACCTTACAGGGAAATAGCCAAATAAACTAAACTCTAAACACAACTCGTGACAACTTAAGAGTTCCTTTTCCAGCTGAAGTTTAAGTTCATTGTGTCCATTTTAAGTAAACTGCTAGTTCACGTTAAAAAACATAAAGTCCTCCCTCACTTATTCTTTTTTTAAAGATTTTATTTATTTATTTGACAGAGAGAGACACACAGCGAGAGAGGGAACACAAGCAGGGGGAGTGGGAGAGGGAGAAGCAGGCTTCCCGCAGAGCAGGGAGCCCGATGCGGGGCTCGATCCCAGGACCCTGGGACCATGACCTGAGCCAAAGGCAGACCTTAACCGACTGAGCCACCCAGGCGCCCCCCTCCCTCATTTATTAACCAGCTTGACATGTGCTTTGCTTTTCAGGAAATCGGATACACGCATATGAAGATAGCAGAAGGTGTGAACTCCCTCCTGCAGATGGCAGGGCTCCTGGCCAGGCTGTGTCAGAAGACAATGGCCCCGGTGGCCAGTTAGGGGGGAGAACTCGTTGCTCGGGGTGACAGGGGTCCTGAGAGTCCTCGTCCAAGAGAGACAGGAGTCAGCGCCTTCTGATTTGGAAAAAAGGCCGCCCTCGACCGGCACGGGGACGCGCCTTCCCCCGACACGACCGTGGTCTCCACGCCGCTCTCACACGTGTCTGCAGTCAGCCTCAGCCTCACGGACATGGTGACAGGGTGACAGGGCCCCAGAGAACCTCAGGGCTTGGCACCCGATCTGGGCACGTGTGGCATCTTAGTTAATAAAAACGCTGTATGGTTTGGTTGGCGCGAAGGTGGCGTCGTCAGGCAGCAAGGAAAGCCAGCGTCCCGTCTCTGAGTGTCCCCAGCGTCCGACAAGTAGCACAGGTGATGGGGATAGTAGACTGATGAAGCTGATCTCAGTGCTTCTAGAAGCCTGGAGGACAGTTCCGTGGGGTAAGGGACGGAGACAGACGTCTCAGAACAGCCTGGGACAGTAAGGACGTCAGAGAGGAGCGGCAGGAGTCACCTGCCGGGGACAGTGGTGTGACGCCTGCCCACTGACTCGCCTTTTCTGTACAACCGCGTATGCTTGTTGCTTTAGAATTCCCCAGTGAATTTTCTGTTACTTTGTACGATCGTTCCTCCCCCACAAGGTACTGTTTTTTCCCCATTTTCTTAAATTATAAAAAAATATCAGTGTACATAAAAGAAGGAATAGGGCGCACCTGGGTGGCTCAGTCAGGTGAGCATCCAACTCTTGATTTCAGCTCAGGTCATGATCCCAGGGTCCTGGGGATCGAGCCCCGCATCAGGCGCCATGCTCAGTGGGGAGCCTGCTTCTCCCTCTGCTCATGCTCACTCACTCTCTCCCTCTCTCTCAAATAAAATCTCTTAAAAAAGGGGTGGGGGGAGAATTAAGGTCCTCAAAAACGGCAATGTGAAGTTTTAAAAAACATTTTAACATATTTCCTCAATCTTACTCGTCATCTGGAGCCTCATGATCGCTGTGAGGTTTGCAGGGGAGGACCAGGGCTCAGGGGCGTGTGTCTGTGCCTCACACCCCAGAACCGTGTTGGCAGGACTCCTCCCGCCTGGAGCCCCCGCCACAGCCCCACTGCACCCCACTCCGTCTCTGAGCCCGAGATCGGGACTCCCGGGTGTGAAGGAACAAGTGGGCAGCAGCTGTGCTCTGGTTTTCCTTCTCATTTCCTAACTGATGGCATTAACTGGAAAGTCAGTGTGGCATCCCGGAAAGGGTGGACTCCAGGACCAGGTTCCTGTCCCCAGCTCGCTCTTCTCTCTCTCTCCCCCCCCCCCCCTTGGGGCCTCAGGGTCCTTTTCCATTAAGCAAGAGGCTTGACTTCCACTCCCTTGGAAGGTTTTGCATGAAGCAGGAAAAACAAACAGAATTGCTAGTCTTAGAAGATGCTTTATTGAGATGTTTCAGTTGGAGGAAACATCTTGCTTCTCCGGCTGTGGCTTTTCTGGCTCAGAAGTTCCCTTTGGGCCCCTGGACTTCCCATGAGACAGCTGTGTTCCTGCTCAATCAGCTCAGCCGAGTCCAGTCCTGGGGCTGGGGAGGATTTGGGGACAACAGAGGGGTGCCACTCAGCCACTCCTTGCTGCTCCTTCTCCAGAAACAGGGGGTGCTTTGCCCACAGCAGACGTTCCCACTGAAGGGCACCCAGGTGTCCTGTAGCCTCATCTCTTCCAAGTGAACTGAGGCCCAAAGACTGGAGCGCGGGGGCTCCCCCTCTCTTCCAAAATGATGTGTGATGCTCACAGGAGACGAGATAGACGAGACTCTGTACCCGGAGATGTAGAGTATTAAATATGGTTCCACCTATATAAATTAACTGTACAAGTTTGTGGATCAGGAAAAAGATCCCAGCAATTGACGTTAGTAAGCAATTTGGAACCTGAGTCCAAAGCAAAAAGGCACAGGAATACCAGCGACGCACAATGTTTTCAGACATGGGGACGGGGATGCAGCTTGCCCTGACCCTCAGGCATCGGATCAGGTCAGAAGCCACACTGCCCTCAGCCTCGGGCTCCCGCAGAAGCCGGGCCAGGGCCTGATGCTCCGTGTAACTGTCCTTTCCCCAGCTGGTCCCCCACGGCCCGATGGACGGTCCTCCGGACGCCTCAGTGCATCTCCCAGGGGTAACCGTGGGGGGTGTCGAGGTTGGGCAGCTCCGGAGAGAGAGGTGACCCCGGGGGAGGCAGGAAATAGCCCTCAGCCTGGTGGTTCCCTCGGCTCCTTGATGAAGACCAAAAAGGTTTGTTAAAAGGCGAAGGGTTGCCTGGACTAGCACTTTTCTTACCCCTGCGCTGGGTCAGGGTCATGGTGATGGTCAGTGTCCGGCCGCCTTCCTGTAGCAGCTGAGAAGAACCCGCCCATCAAGCAGCCTTCTTTCCCTTTGAAATCCCTGTGCTCGGCGCCTGGGTGGCTCAGTTGGTTGGGCGACTGCCTTCGGCTCAGGTCATGATCCTGGAGTCCCGGGATCGAGTCCCACATCGGGCTTCCTGCTCGGCGGGGAGTCTGCTTCTCCCTCTGACCCTCTTCCCTCTCGTGCTTTCTATCTCTCATTCTCTCTCTCTCTCAAATAAATAAAATAAAATCTTAAAAAAAAAAAAAAAAAGAAATCCCTGTGCTCATTGATCCTGGCCAAGGCTGTGGTTGATTGGTACAGGGCTGGTGACTGGCGCTCACCTTCAGCGCCCGTCCGCTCCCCTCCCACCCAGAAGGGACCTGCCAGGAGCGTCAGCTCTAACTCAGCCCCGCTTCTGCCTCACTCGGCAGCCCGCCCACATCTTTGAACCCAGGGATCGGGTCACTCCCGCCCCCAGCGAGCCACCGTGGACGCTGGCCTGTGGAGTCCGGACCCCGGAGCAGGACAGCATCCAGCATGCGAAGTTTCCATCCAGCCTCGGCCGGACGACATCCCTCCTGCCACCCCACCTTCCAGCTCAAAACCCTGCACAACCCCTCCGGCTCCTGCCCCATGTCTCTGCTCCCCTCTGACGTGGGACTTCTGGAATGTTCTCTACTCCCTGTCTTGGGACTCCTGTGTTCTGAATACAAGCAGGCCTTCCCCCCACCACCATCGAGTCTGCCCACCAGTGCCCACCGCCTGCCTGGCGCCTGCTCCCACCCACCCGAAGTGCCTTCCTCGGGCTCAGGACACTGCCCTTCGCCGCTTTGCCTCCCAGCCTTTGGCCTCAGCGCTGGCCCCTCTTCTCGGCCTCACTCCCCGGGGGCTGACAGTTGTCACTCTCAATGACGACACCCTGCGTCTGTCTCCAGCCTGGCCTCGCCCTCAGCCCAGGCTCAGCTGTCTAGCTGCGCACTTCATATTTCTCCCCATGTGGGCGGCTCGAGCCGAACACGTCCAGAAATAAGCTGGCCTGCCCACAGGGCCTGCTCTGCCCACAGCCTCTCACACCTCGGCTGGGGACAGTGACATCCTCTTGTTTGCTCAGCCAAAAAACCTGCAGCCCCTCAGCTCCTCTCTACCTGGCCCCCCAACACCCACTGCTTCAATGAGTCCTGTGCGCTCCGCCTTCAAAACCAACTCCCGATTCGGACATAACGGGTAAATACAGAACATTCCATCCCAAACAACAGAGTACACATTCTTTTCAAGTACACATGGAACATCCTTCAGAACAGAAAACATGTCAGGCCACCAAACAAGCCTCAATAAACGTAAGAAGACTGAAATCACACCATACATCCTTTCCGACCACAGGGGTACGAAACTAGAAATCACAAGAAAAATGGAAAAATGCAGACACGTGGAGGTTAACCAACATGATACTAAACAACCAATGGGTCAACAAAGAAATCAAAGAAAAAATTTCCAAAAATACACGGAGACAGGGCGCCTGGCAGGCTCAGTTGGGAGAGCGTGTGACTCTTGATCTTGGGGTCGTGAGTTCGAGCCCCACGTTGGGTTGTAGAGATGACTTAGAAATAAATAAACTTAAAAAAAAAAATCTAAGACCAAACAAAACCCTATTCATGTTTGCCTCCACCCTGAGCCAAGAAGTCACCTTTTACCTGGATTCTAACTGGTCTCTGTGCATCCCTTGCTGCCCCCTGAATTCATTTCCCTCCTCAGCAGCCAGGGATCCCGTTCCCAGGCTCCCAGGCTCCCAGGCTGCGCCCCCTCCCATCTCAGAAAACCCCCTCCCCTGTTGTCAGACCCTCTGGGCGCGCTTCTGCCCCCCTGCGCGTCCCTCCCCCCCCCCATCGCGGGCCAGGGAGGGAGCACCCCCAGCTGCCCTGGGCAGCCCAGCCCTGTGGTCCGCGGCCTCCTCCCCGTGGGTTTGTCTCCACAGGGCTTATCACCCGCTCACATGCTGCCTGCCCTTCCTGCCCTCTCTCTCAGCCCGCAGCCATCCGTGTCATCACTCCCACCAGAGTGACGTCCTGAACGGTCAGGGATTTATGTGGGTGGGATTTCTTTCTTTTCTAAGATTTTATGTTTAAGTCATCTCTGTACCCAACGAGGGGCTCCAACTTGAAACCCCTGAGATGAAGAGTCACACGCTCCGGGCACCCATGGGTGGATTTCGTTTATTGCTGGGTCCCCAGCACCTAAGGCTGACTTGCCGCCAGCAGGGGCCCAGTAGATGTTGGGGAGTGTGTGAGCGGTGGGCTCAGGCTTCTACGGCCTCTCCTGCTGTGGGGCCCTCACAGCCCAGGAGCCGCCCGCCCACCTGCCCCGATCGGGACTTCAGAGGGCCTTCGAGAACCCACTGGGGTCAGTCCTGCCTCCCACGCGGTGGCACAGCCTGGGCCCCAACAGCTGACTCTCAGTGGGGCCTGGGACAGGAGGCTGAGCGCTCTGTGCGTTTGGGGGCCCTGCGCCGGTGCGCGGGAGCACTCAGCCCCGTGCTGGCTGGTGCAGTGGGGGCTGCAGACTCGGTCCGGCGCGACCGTCATGGGCGCCATCCACTACCTCCCAGTCCCCGCCCCGTCCCTGAGTCCCTCACACGCTGTGTCCCATTTGCTCCATTTTGCGGGTGAGAAAATGGTCCCAGGAGGCTGAGCCACTTGCTCGAGGTTGCCACCCGGAGCCCACCCCTTCACCCCACAACTCACCAGCCTCCCCAGCCTGACAGCCCCAACAGCCGCCTGAGACCCTGGTGTCTGCCGTGGAGCTGTGACCTCACTGGGTCGGCCGTGGGCGCTGGGGGCAGGACGGCTCAGGAGCTCAGTCCCAACACCCTACAGAGCCACCCATTTCAGCACCCATGGGTGTCACTCCTTGACGCCCCCCCCCCACCGGGGCCCCCGTGTGGCTCCTCCAGCCCTGTTTTTCCCTTGGGATGGGGCCCCTCAAGTTGTGAGGACCGGCACCCTGGGCCGAGGCAGCTGTACCTTCCTTCCAGATCCTTCCTAGACTTCTGTGGCTGCCACATTCTGATTCACGTAATCGGGGTCCTCGCTGTCCTCGTCTGGGCTGCCTGCCAGGGACAGAGGCTCTTCCCTCGGGACTCGCTCTGCGGACCAGCGGGCAGATGGGCAGGCGGTGGGCAGACGGTTCATGCGGACACACCCACACCTGTCCCCCCAGCCAGAGGCTCGGGCCCAGGCCCCCGGACGCCACAAAACAGCCTGCAGGAAACGCTACACGGAACACTGTGCCGGTCCCCATCTCTGGGGTTTGCCAGAGATTTCCACCCCGGGGGCGGCTGACCGGGCGTCCTGGTCCTGGCACGGTTCCAGGCCGCTGTGGCCACTGATGGGCCAGAGGCGTCACTGTGAAGTCAGCTGCAAGGGCTGCAGGGGAGCCTGCCCCTCCCCCGACTGTCCCTCCCTCGCCCCCCACTGCCCGATCCTCCCAGGCCAGGCCCTCCCCAGCCTGCTGAAGCTGACCACCCGGGAACCCCTGCTCTCCGGCCACGCACCCACGGCCCTCCTGGACTCCCGCCACTGCCGGATGGATGCCGAGTTCTGGTAATCCTCGGATCCCTCGTCGCCTGCAGGGAGACACCGGGAGAGGGGCTGGTACAGGTGGCAGCCGCCGCGGCTAGTCCTCAGGCCCCCTGCATGCTCACTAAGGCCGGGACCCCCAGGGCCTCGTCCAGGTACTGGAGCAAACGGTGAACCTTCGGGCTTCGAGCCAGGGGGTGCCTTTGAGCGGTGTGGGCGGGCCTGGCCGAGGGGGCCTCCCCGCCCAGTTCCCCGGGGCTGGGGGCCTCACCCGACTCGGGGTCCTTCGGCTTGCAGATGAGCACGTTCTCGTAGGAATTGGTGTCGTCATCATCGTCATCTGCCAGGGAGGGGGTGAGGGTCAGGTTGGTGGGGGGCCCTGCCCGGCAGGCCTGGCTTTTCCCCCCTCCCTCCCTCCATCCTGCCTTCCCTCGGCAGGCGACCTGTCCTGCCAAGCCCCCAGCCCTCTGGGTCCCCCATGGAGTCTCCGAACAGTCTCCTGGACAAGATTCTTAGCGGACACTGGCCTGGCTCCAGCTCCTTCATGGTCCTCCGAGGTCACCCCAAATGCACTGGGGAGGGGAGATGTGGGGACGGGCTTGCAATCAGGCAATTGGATAGTTGGAGGGAGGGAGGCCCGTTGCTATCGGGCAACGAGGGGCAGGGAGAGCCGCTGAGGGCTGAGGAGAGACGGGAAGCAGGCCTAGGCTGATCCTAAAGCCGTACCTTTGGGCAGGGCACGGTGGGCCTAGGCTGGATGTGGCCTTAGCAGAGCCTGGCACCCCCTCATCGCCCCTGCGAGCTGAGCTCTAACCGCTGCCCTACCCAGCAGCCTTCTGTGTCAAAGGGGCTCCAAGACATGAGGGTCCCTCCCATATTCAGCAGCGGCAGCGGGGAGGAAGAGGCCCCCTCCCTCTGCCCGCCATGCGCCCCAACCCCCAGCCCAGTGTGGCCTCCCCAGACCTCTCAGCAGGCCCGGCCCACCCTCGGTCCTCAGTTTCTTTTTCTGTAAAGCCAAGGTGTTAAGGGCCCAAGATCTCAGCCTCCTCAGAGCCTGCAGGGCTCAGCGTCTGTCAGCAAGGCTGCCCGGCCCAGGCTCTTCCTCCGAGGTCCCACGTGGACTCATGAGTGGCTGCCCGGCCCTGAGGGGGGCCCGCGTGACCAGAGGCTCAGCCTCCCCCGCTGCCCCTGGCCCCAGCTCCCCTTCTGGTTCCCTCACCTCTGTGGCCCGCACCCCTCTCCCCTCCCTGCCTCCGACACATCCCTTCCCTACTCTGTTCCCCCACCACCAGCCTCCCCCGGCTCCCCAGCTCCGCCACCCATCCAAACCTAGGCCCAGCCTCCCCGCCCTCCTCTACGGCCTTGACCTTCTGCAGCTCGCCACTTCCTCCCCTCCTCCCCTCCTCCTCCTGCACCTCACCTTCCCTGGGCTTCTGGATCTGCCCCCAGTTGTAATAGTCCGTGGTGATGGGTTCTCTGGCAAGAAAACACAGACCCAGAGCGGTTGCTGGGCAGGCCGGGGCTCGGGGTGGGGGCATTGTGGGGGACATGGATGACAGGGCTGTTCCAGCCATCACCCCCCCCGCCCCCCCTCCCGTCCTTCCCTGGTCCCTCCGTCCCTCTTCCCTGGGCCCCTAAGCCGCCCAGCCTGGCTCCAGCCATCCCGACTTGTGACTCGAGGCAAGTCCCCATCTTCCCTGGGCCTAAGATTACCCATCCGTGAGACCCCCCTGAGGGCCCTTCCTCCCTTGTCTCTGAGTGATGCAGGATGAGTCCCCCAGACAAGCCCTCCCTAGAGCAGGGCCACATCCCTGTCCCCACAAAGCCATGGCCAACTGAGGGGAAGTGATGCTACTGAGCACCTGCCTGGGCCAGTGTGTTCTAGGGCCGGAAGCTTTCATAAAGGGGGAAGCCCGGCGGGGGTGGGTGGGGGCGGGGAGGAGGTGCCGGCCCTGCTTAAGGCCACTCACATGTAGGCTGCATCGGATCTGGATCTGGATCCATGTCTGCTCCCTGCGGGAGGAGGCGAGGATTAGGCCCGAGCACTGGGCCCTGGGCCCCACCGCAGCCCCCACCTCCCAGGATCCCACCCACCTTTGCTGAAGTTCTGGTACCTGGAGGACTCAGAATCTGGAAGAAAGGCCGGGCTCATGGCTTCCTCCCACCCCTGCCCCAGCCCCCTCCCCAAGGGAAGGGCCTTCAGGAACCCAGGTGTCTCCTACCTTCCCACCTTGACACCTGCTCTCCATCCTCTCCCCTGCTAGGCCAACCTGAGGGCCTCCCGGCCCAGCTCCCCTTGTTCCCCAGGCCTCCCCTGCACAGGTACATTCCCACCTCACCCCTGACCCCACCCCTGTGTCTGAGGGCCACTCACCCTCGAGGCTGGGGGAGAACCTCAGCAGCTTGTCCTTCCTGCAGGAAAGGGGGGAGGGAGGGGCTGAGAGCGGCCGGATGGGGAAAGGCCTTGGGGTTTCTGAACCACAGCCCCACAGCCGTACAGCCCCCTCGTGGGGCCCTCACAGTCCAGCTCTGGGGCTCTGAGGTCCAAGGTCTTGGCCTGAGCTCAGCCAGGTGGGGCCCCACAGGGCTCTCTTTCCCATGGCCTCCTATGGGGCTGTGACCCCTCCAGGCCTCGGATTGTCCCTACCTTGTTGGCGCTACGTCAGAGTCTGCATCCACCAGGGGCCCGGGCCAGGCCTGCCTGATCACTGCAAAGGACAAGGGGCTGTTGGCCGGGCCTCCAGGCCAGCCTGCCAGGGCTGTTCCCCCACTCTACCAGATAGGGCCTGGCCACAGTCCCCGTATGGACACCCCAACCCCGAGCCCAGTCCCTGGACCCTTCGGTTCGGGGACTCACAGGAATAGGTCCGGGCCACCGCAAAGTTCTGTTGATTCTCTTCCCTGGGAAAACATGGAGCTCTGCTGAGCCAGGGCCCAGCCCCCCACAGCCGAAGGGACAGAGAGACAGGAGAGACGGACAGACAGGGCCAAGAACAGAGAGGGGAGGGACAGACCAGGGCAAGAGTGAGGAGCCGCCACCCCTCTGGGCCTCAGATCCAGGGCTCCCCCTTTGAACTGCCCGCCAGGCGCCCGCCCTCCTCACGTGGCCCCGAGCCGGAGCCTCTGCGGCCTCCCCAGGAACCCCGGAGATGGTCTGGAGGGTCTGTGGGCAGGGCTGGGGAGGTAGCCCTCAGATTCCGAGGTGAGGGTCAGGCGGCTCTTTAGGGACTTCAACCAGAGGGTAACTTCAACCCCTCTTGAGATGTCCAAACACACCATTTACTCCCAAGTAACTGGCAAGGTAACTTCCAAGGCTTAGCAGACACAGCAAGGTCCCTGGCCATGTGTGGTGTTCCCTTCTTCCTCTGAAATGGATTTTTATGTATTTAGGCCCATCTAAAAGATTGCATTTTCCAGCCTCCCTTGTGCCTGGGTATGGCCATGTGATTAAGCTCTAGTCAGTGAAATGCCAGCCAAGATTGTTGGGACTTCAGGAAAACTCCTTTAGAGGAGGCACTGCCAACAGGGGTGCACCCTTTTTCTCCTTGCCCTTCATTCTTACTACTGCCTGGAACACAGAGATAAGGGCTGGAGCTCTAGCTGCCATCATGGATCATGAAGTTCCCTTGAGGATGGAAGCCACTGCTAAAGATGGTAGAGCAGATTAGCTAAACATTTAAAGTCCATTTGGGTCCCTCCTCTGGACCAGAAGGGGTACCTGGCCAAGCCTTCCAGGAGCTTCCGGGGAGGGGCAGCTGGAGGGGTCAGGGTGACCTGATTTAGGAAGGATGCCCTAAATGCACGGGCAGGACTGAACCCAAGTGAAGTGGGGAGAACCCAAGTCTCCCCTCCCGCCTCCTCCTGCCCAGGCCCAGCCTTCCCACTTCCCACTATGACACAGTTTCACTTCTGGCTCAAACAGCCTGTTTCTAACATCAATCAGAGGCCCAGAGTGGGCAGGCACTGAGAGAGGAGGGGAGATACTGGGGAGGCCTGCCTCGGGGCTGAAGCGTGGGCGGGGGGCACCAGGGGATCCCAGCCCCCTCACCCCTGGTGGAGGCTGTGGGTGGATCATCCAGAGGACCAAGGGGCCAGAAAAGCCTAGCCTCAGGGGTGGGCATGGATGGGGACATTCTATTTTCATATTTCATTGTGGTTTTTCAGTTGCAAAAGGAAATGAGAAAGGGTGTGTGTGCGTTTGTACGTGAGTTCCTTCCCTAGGCAGGCACACACAGGGGTGAGGAGAGGAGTGCACGCCTGAGCAGGAGTGGGGGGGAGCTAGTGGGTGTGAGCTGGCGTGCTGGCCCATGTCTGCTCATGTGTGCACGCAGGTCTCAGAGGCCCCCGGGCGCTCCGTCGGTCACTTTCCTGCTCAGCGCAAGGACACCAGTGGCCGCCCCCTCCCTCCCCGGGCTGTCCTTGGGCCACGCCGTGGTCTGCAGCGTCCTGCATGGCTGACCCTCCCAGGGCTCATACATAGAGCAGCTCGCCTGCCCCCGAGGTGCCTGGAGCTCCATCCTGCCGGATCCAGCTGCTCGGCCTGGGGTCAGTGACCCCCCCAACCCCATTTCCTCTCTACCCCTACTTCCCTGGGCCTTTAGGACAAAGGTCATGGGCTCTCCCCACAGTCAAGACTCTCCTCCCTCCTCACCCAGCTCATGCCTCTCAAGATACACCCACACGTGCCACCTCCTCTCCAGAAGAAAGTGTCCGCCCCAGTCCTGCGGGGGAGGGGGGGGCGGGGCGCCCACCCTGTTCTCTCTCTGGAATGTCCCCTTTTGCCTTCTTTCTCTCTTAACATCCTCCCCACCTCCTCCATCAGGCCTTCCCTACCCGCCAAGGACATGCCCACATCCTCCCGGAGGAGCTCTGTTCGCATTTTCCAGGGGAGACTTGAGCATGGCTCACGTTTTGCTTTGTGCCCAGCCTCTGTTCCCCCCATTGCCCGGGAGGGCAGAACTCTCTGTCAACCCCCAGCACCAGCACGGTGGGCTCCCCTGGGCTGGGGGCAGAGGGAGGATCTCTGGAGATGCAGGGGGGCATGCTGGAGAGTGGCACCCCCTCCCCCCAAAGCCCTCCCGGACCAGATGGGGGGAAGCGCATGGAGAGCCCCAAGGGTCCCTCGCTCCCTGGACTGCTCGGGACCCACTAGAGCCCAGTGTGGAGGAGAGGTGGGCGTGAGGGGTGAGGGAAGGCGTGCGGGGACACGCGGGAGGACGCCCATGTGGCTGCCCACAGTCAGGGCACATGAAGTCACGGGGCTGGGGACACTGAGGCACTCACAGGCTCCTCTGCTCATAGATCTTCTCGGACTTCTTCACGGCTGCAAGAACAAGACCAGATTAGCGAGCGATCTGGACCACCAATCCCTGTGGGCCACCTCTCATGGACAGGGTGCTTGCTCACCACCTATTAGGAGAGCAGAGTGTGGAGAAGGTGGGTGCTGCAGGCAGCACAGCAGCCCCCCCACCCCCGTTTTTCCAGAACATTCCCCTGCCCCAGCAAAACCAAAGCCCCACGGTGAGCCAGACCCACCGACTTCAGGGGTGGTTTAGGGGCTTCCTCCCTGCCTTGTGAAACTTCTCCGACTGCCCTTGGACCGCAACCAGGGCTGGGGACCCCGCCCCTGTCCCCAAGCGCCCCCTTACCTGGGCGGGAGCAGCGCACGCACAGGCCGGCCACAGTCCCCAGCAGCAGCAGCAGGGCCACGCAGGGCCACAGCAGCTCGCTCTCCACATTCATGTCCGCTCCTGGCCACGCGCCCTGCAGCGCTACAACGTAGGACCCCCTGTGACCAGCCCTCCGGAGTCCCCCCCGAGCCCCACACTGTCAGGTGTCCGTTGCCCCCTTCTCCTGACAGCCCCGCAGTGGAGCCCAGACCACGGGAGCACCGTCTCCCCTCCCTGTCCGAGGACCGGGTCAGGCTGCAGCCAGCCCTGCTCCCCCGTCTGACCCAAGACCCACACCCCGGGCCCCCAGGGCCATCCCCCACATTTGCTAAGTGCTAGAAGGTTCTGGGGACCCACCAGACAGCACCACGTGTACGTGTCCCAAACGTGCCTTTGCTTAATCCGCACAACCACCCACGGGGGGTGGGGGGAGGCAGGGAGAGGCTCCCAACATTTCACAAATACAGAAACTGAGGCTGGGGATCCCAGCTGCGAAGGAGAAAGACGGGATTCAAACTCCGGCCTCTGGATCCTAACTCCGGCTCACCTGTTTTCTCTTGTAAACCCAGCTTTGCTGCCTGAGCTCAGTCCTCGGCCCCTTTCAGAGGAGCCCTGGCAGCCCCCACGCACCCCAGGGTGCCTCTCTGCCCCTTATCCATGGGCCCCCCGGGGGAGCTGGGAGTGGGATTTCTGTTCTTTCTTTCTTTAAAAATGTTTTATTTATTTGTCAGAGAGAGAGAGAGAGAGAGAGAGAGCACAAGCAGGGGGAATGGCAGGCAGAGGGAGAAGCAGGCTTCCCACCGAGCAAGGAGCCAGATGTGGGACCTGATCCCAGGACCCTGGGATCACGACCTGAGCTGAAGGCAGACGCTTAACCGACTGAGCCACCCAGGCGCCCCGGGGTTTCCATTCTTTAAACACTGAGGGGTTCCTGAGGCATAAGGGGGAGAGGGGTACTCTGGGCGGAGACCTGGTGGGCTGCCCAGGGCTCGTGGAGGTGGGATGTGCTGGGAGGGGGTCTCTGCGGGGTGAGGAGGCTCTGAACCCCGCCTGGCACTGGGCCACTGCTGGGTCAGTGACTGGTCCCTGGGGTGGAGCCGTGCTGTGATGGCCAGTCCTTGGAGAAGCCACAGGCAGCCACACACCAGGGCCTGGGCGGGGGGCAAGTACAGCCCTCTTAAGGGGGCTTCTGAGGAGAATCACTGCAACTGGAGAGACTCAGTCTCCTGGCAGTGGCCAGGGACACAGCTGAGGGCCACAGTCTCCGAGGGGGCCCTGCCCACACCCCTGAGCGTCCCCCTCTGTGCATGTTGTTTTTCCCGGCTCGGCCACCCGGGAGGAGGGCTTCTCCCCACTTTACAGCTGGGGAAGTCGAAGCTCAGGGAGAAGCTGAGCTCTGTACTGCCCAGCTCCTGTTTCGGGCTCCCCCAAGGCCTCGGCGGCACCCAGCTGTCCCCCTCACCTCTCTGAGCTTCCCGAACCCTCACGCAACAAATGACAAGGAGCCTCTGAGCAACCCTGAGCCTCCATCAGGGCTGTCCCAGAGAAGCCGCTTCTCCTTCCCCAAACAGCAAGTGAGTCAGTGGAAACCTTGTGATGGGATGGCCCTGTCACCCCAGGAGGGTGTGCGTGGGGAGGCCCCTGCTCTCAGGGCCTGGGCCCCGGCCCCCCAGCCTGCACAGCCTCCTCCTGCCCCCTCTGCTGTGCCTCTAGCCCAGCCCAAGGGCGCTTCAGGCTGTGTGGGGTTGGAAGCACCGGGTCCTGGAGGGAGGACTCCTGCCCGTGCCTCGGGGGTCTGTTGGCCTCAGTCTTCTCATCTGTAAAATGGGGCTCAACCGGGTGCCTTCCTCAAAGAACTACTGGCCGATGAGAAGCAGCCTGGCTCAGTGTCCAGGCTTCCCAGAGAGAAACCTGCTAGGGCTCGTATTTCTGGCCGGCTGGTTTGGAGAACTCGCTTGTGCTCCAGGGGCCTGGCACTTGAGGCCCCAGGACCCGTCCTGCCGACCTTGGCAGCCGTCCCAGGGAAGGGCGGCCCTCCCTCCCAGGGAATCCTGGCCACCAGAGAGCCCTCTTGCTTCCTGGCCCCCCCTGCTCTCCTGGGTCAAGCAACACAGTCGGGGGGGTGCCCCCAGCCCCGGTCCACCATATCTGCCTGGCACTGGGGGAGGGCGGGGAACGAGAACGCCGAGTGGGCTCCGCTGTTGAAGCCCGGGATTGCTGGCCTTCCGTAGCCCCTCGGAAATGGGGAAATAAGGACACTCATCCCTCGGGTTTGTCATGAGGCCCAGCATCGAGATGATGCACGAAGGTGGGGAGACACAGTTGCATGACTACCATGACTTGCCATCTCAGGGTCCCTGTGGAAGGGGACGGGGCAGCCTTTTGGGGGTGGGAGGGCCAGCAGCGGACAGTGTGGAGCAACCTTACCAGGGCCTCCCTGCCTGGTGCCCAGGGTACGCGGGGCCCGAGCCTCCCTCCACCGCCCCACCGCCCCGTGCACGGGCCCTCGTGCCGGGACCCCCAGGGCGGGCTGGGATCGGCCCCAGCCCCTCAGTTGTCACGGACACGCCAAGTGTCATGTGGGAGATGCCAGGGAGGAGAGCAAGGCCCCGAGAGGCGGGAACTTGTCCAAGTTCATCCAGCTAGCCACAGAGCCAGGATGCCCACGCTCAGGCCGGGCTGATCCCCAAGGCCCTCCCTGCTCTTTGACTCCTGTTTTATATTACCTTTTTAAGAACCATGAAATATTTTTTAAAAGAGAGACCAATTTGAGGAACAGGCCCACGGCTGCCCCTAGACTGACTACATCTGCCCTCTGGCCGGGCTTTCCCCCCCAGGATCTGAGGGCAGGCGGATAAGGGTTGGGGGAGGAGGCTGAGCCCCTAGGAGAGGCAGGCCCAGCGGCCCCGGGAGGGCCCCAAGGGGCAGGCAGGGCTGGGTGGGGTGGGGAGGCGAGGAGGCCACAGGCCGAGGAGCTGCAGGCCAAAATAGCACAAAGGGAAGTGCGCAGTTTTCAGATGAACAAAGTTTGCAACAGCCGGGCGGGGGGGAAAGCCCTTGGGGCTGGGCTGTGCAAGGCGGAAAGGCCCTGGGAGACCCTCCTGCCCAATCCCCCAGCCGGCCTCCGGCCCTACACGAGGAAACGGAGGCCTCCCAGGGCCACAGGGCAGGCTATGGGGTGGGAACGAGAGGTCGGGTCCGAGCCCTGGGGAGGCTTTATCCTGTGCCCATTCCGTTTTCCCATGTCGTCCTGGCCTTCAGATAAGGCCGACCCAGGGGCCTCTATGGAGGCTCCTAATGCTCAGGTGGCCAGTGAGGGGGCCTGGGCAGCCCTGGTCCTGGGGCAGCGGTGGGGAATGGTGACGGCCAGGGTCAAGGAGCTCCCCAGCAGAGAGCTGGTGGGCCAGGCTGGGGGCTGGGCGGGGGGTGGCGGGAGGGCTGCTCGGCCTGGCCTGGCCTGGCCTGGGGGTTAGGGTCTGGGCACCCTTGTCCGGAGAGTCTCATCCATCCTCCCGTAGACTAGTGGCAGGGATGTTACAGTCCCATTTCACAGATGAAGAAACCAAGGCCCGTGGGTCTCGACCCTCACCGCTCTCTGGAAGCGATGAGCCCATCCTGGAGGCTTCCCCAGGCCTGGGAAGGCTGGGCAGGGGAAGGTGAGGGTGGGAAAGCGCCGGAGCCCCAGAAACAGTCTGCCCTCGGAGTGCCGCAGGGTCCGGGGAGAGGGCTCCCTAGCCAGGGGCGTCAGGGCGGGACTGGGGCCCAGCGAGGGAGAGCCAGGTGGGCTGGCATCTTCCCAGCCCTCCAGCCAGGCCACCCCCCCCAACCTGAGCCCTCCTGCGGGGCCAGCAGGGCCATTCCCACCCCCGGTGGGAGGCAGCCTCAGGACCCCCAGCCGGGCTTACCTGAGAGTCGGGGGGCTCCTCACTGCGGCCACCTCATCCTGAGCCCACACACCTGCCCGAGCCACCGCCGCTGCCACCGAGACTGGCGGGCAGCAGGCGAGGTGGCGGGCTTCCTGTCGGCCCCCGAATCAGCCCTCGCACATCCGCTGCTCTGCCGGACCGGCCCTGCCGCGAACAGCCGGGGACCCAGAGACGCTCGCAGAGACAGGGAGAGACACTGAGAGACAGACAGAGCGGGGAGGGACAGACAGACACGAACACAGGCTCAGAGAGGCCAGAGACACGGACAGACACACACACACTGCATACACGCGCATGACCCCAAGTCACACAAAGAGGAAGAGACACAGAGGGACGGGGAGCAAGAGAATGAAGTCGGGTGCTCACACGGACACACACACACACACACACACACACACACACACACACGGGCAGCCCGCGGGGAGGGGGGACAGGAAGACATGGAAAGACGCACACGCACACTAACCCCCACCCAACACACACCCAGGGAGGGAGAGGGCCAGAGACAGACACACACAGACAGACAGGGAGAGGCTGAGTCACAGACACACACACACACACACACACACACACACACACACACACTCACGGACACCCGTGCGCGCTCCCACAGAACATGGGGCAGAGGGATGCAGACAGGTGTGCGCCGGGGCAGGCCGAACAAGGAAGCAGAACGGGGAGGCAAGGTGAAGGGCAGAAGGGGGGGATGATCCACCAGCCATGGCTCCCCCCTGCCCCCTTCCCCCTCAGTTCCCAGAGGCCCCCTCCCGCAGCTGCCGCTCCTGCTGTCACCAGCATCTGGGGGGGGTCCATAAACATACGGGGTGCTTCCGTGCCTCCTGTTACTGGGCATTAAGTGACTGGCCCAAGGCCATCAAACTCCTGGTGGCACCTCCACTCCCAGGAGACCCCAGGGCAACCCCCGTCAGTCTGGCATTTCAGAACCTGGGCTTCCTGGTCCCAGGGGCCCCTCTGGGCAGGAGACTGGGTTTTTCTTTCAGCCCCAGGGGTCGCTCTGGGCCAAAGGACTGGGTTTCTCTTTCAGCCTGTCCGGGGTGGCCAGGGCTCAGACAGGAGGCCCAGCCCCGAAGGCACAGCGGGCCAGGGCTGCCCGCGGCTGCCACCCCGTGGGGAAGAAGGGTAGTGC